ATTCACTGACCCCACTGCCAGCTGTGGAAAGTCCACACTGGAAAAAACAGCCCTTACGCTGCTTGTCCGTGTACAGCTCTTATCCTGGCCCTGGGGAACCAGCCTTCCCAGGCACCGGGGAGGATACAGGGCACGGATAGAGCCAGGAGAAGCAAAAGGCCAAGGGCGTGAAGAGGGGTATCAGAGGAGTAGGAGGGCAACAGGGATGGAGGCAGTGGTGCAGCGGGAAAGGATCATCTCATCCCTATCCCTTTAAGCATGGGCAAGGACGAGAGCAGTGTGATGTGACACGGGGGACTGCGGTACGGGAGCCTCTGAATGCAGAAGGCACTATCCTGCTTCAGCGTCTATCGCAGGGAGCAGAGGGCCAGACTGGCCTCTCGGAGCAGAAAGGGAAGCAGCCCGGTCCATGCTGCAGGGGTGGAGGGGGGAGTAGCTGAAAACAAACCCCACTAACGATGAGCTCACACCGCAGTTCTCGGTTGGAAGCTGGCTCTGCTCCCACCGCAGAGGAGACCTCCACCAGCCGGCCATTTGCTCTGCTCCAGTTGGAGTCAGTTCAAGAAAAACACAACTGAAGAGGTTTGAAAAGCCGATCCTGGTCCCAGAAAAAGGCCAGTGCTCGCTCAGCGATGGTTATACAAGTGTACTGGTTTGCTTCTGCAGTAGCTGCTCTCCGCAGCCATCTGGCTGGCGGCAGCACATTACCTACGTGACCCATGTGCAGTCACCACCCTGGAGCCAGGCAGGCAAGAGAGCCCACTTCTGCTTCATACTCCCTTAAAGGAAAAGTTCCCGAGCCCAAACCTGCCTCCCAGGCCAAGATGCGTTTGACACAGGCAGGTCATATTGCCATAACCTCGTGAAATAGGCTTCAAGAAAACATAAGACAACTACACGCCACACGTTATGATTTTGTAAAGAAAGACTACTGTTTTAACATGGCACGTTGACTGGGTTAGGAGAAAAGTTTTTAACTGCTCATTTCCCTGCTTAGCTTGCACGTTATCACATTCTCCACAATATATACTGTTTGCACTGCATAACCAGTACACTTCTACAGCAGGTGGATGAACTCTTGTGAACCGACCTTAGAAAAAAGCTGTTTTTCATAGCTCTGACCCGTCCTTTTTTCTTGGCTGTGATTCTCATCATGAAGTT